CGTGCCACAGCCCCGCCAGCGCCCCACCTGAGGCTCCAGGTACAGCGTGCTGCCCGTGCTACTGGCGGCCAGGCACACCGACCCCTTGGGCAGCTCCCCCTGCCGCCCCGCCCGCACAGGGATGCACAGGCGGTCGCGGCGCACCACCACCTGCAGGCACAGGGTGGATGGGGAGGCAGAGGCCGGGCGGGGAGGGGCGGCAAGGGTCTGTGTAGGCGCAGCCTCCGCCCAGAATGGCTGCACCCCACAGGCGGCACAGCAGGCACAGCAGGCGCCGGCACCCGCCAGCCTGCGGCCCCGCCCCGCGCAGCGCCCCGCCTGCGGCCGCTCGCTGATGCCCTTGGCGTGCGCGTGCCGTGCCCAGCGCTCCATCTCGGCCCGCAGCTGCTGGCGGTTGTGCCTCCTCGCCTCCCGAACCTCGGCCAGCGCGGGCGAGGCAGAGTCCAGCACGCGACCCTCCCCAGGCTGCACAGCACAGGTTAAGTGGCAGCGCGTGAGCTGGCCTGGAAGCCCTGAAGGCGGGTTGTGCCTTTGGGGCCGACCAGGTGCCCCCAAAACAAGCCGTGGGGAGGGGTGCGGACAGCTGGCGACGTGCGGCAGTGGCATGCCATGGGGCTGCATGGCGGCGGCAGAGCCGCAGCTTGCAGCGAGTGCCCCTGAGCGCCCGCAGGGCCACCCCCACCCGCCCACGCGCCCACCTTGATGCACTGCTCAATGGCCTGCCGCAGCTGTGGCAGGGCGCTGCCGATGCCTGCCCCGAGCGCCCGCAGTGCCGGGAACTGCCCCCCACCCGCCTGCTGCTCCTGCTGCTGCTGCTGGGCGGATCCCTCCAGCTGCAGGCGGCACTTCATGCGTGCGGCAGCGCCCAGCGTGGTGGCCGCCGCCCCCAACACCAGCGGGTGCAGCACACGCCCCTGCTGCGCGGCATCCACAGCCTGCCGAATGTCGTACACCCCCTGAAACCTGCAAGCAGGCGGGGCAGGCAGGCGGGGCGGGCACGCACGGTGGCGCTATGGTGGTGCCGCTGGCTGGCAGGGGCGGCGGCGGCACACGCACATCCTGCCCGCAGGGCGCCCCGCCACTCACTCCAGCTCCGCCTGCTGCGCCTCGCCCGTCTCCCGCAGCAGGCGCTCGCTCTCCTGCTGGCTGCGCCCCAGCGGCAGCCTGCCCTGCAGCGCCACCTCCGCGCCCATGGGCGTCCGTGTGAAGCAGGCCACCTGGCGGCACAGCGCCGGCCACTCCAGCAGCTCGAGAGACTCTCGCTCCGCGGCCTCTATGGCCGCTGTGGCAGCATCGTCGGCGGTAGCGGCGGCGGCGGCAGCGGCGGTGCGCTTCGCCTCTGCTGGCGCCAAGCCGGCGCCGGCGCCGGTGTCGGCCGCCGCGAGCGCTGCTGGTGCCTGCCGCGCCGCTGCCGGAGGTACCTTTCTCAGCCTGCTGCAGCTGCGTGGCTGGGGCCGCTGCCGCCGCCTGCTGCCGCCGCCGCTCATGCCGCGGTGCCCAGAGCCGCCCTCCACAGCTTGCAGCACCACAGCATGCTGCTGGAGTCGACTTAGGGCGTGCATCGTCGCTGGTTTGTGGGGCAGGGAAGAGCCTGCCGCTGTGTGCAGCCCGCCAGCAATGCCAGCCGCTTGCAGGGGACGCTTGCAAGCGGGGGTGGAGAGGTTTGCAGACGGGGGAATTGATCAATGCTCTTGAGCTTAAATAGAATGGGCGCAGTGGCCGTGAACTGACTGGGCCAGTTCCGCAATCTGCTGGGCGTGCTGTGAGCTTTGCCCGGCTAAAACGCGCACAAAAGGATTTCTGCACATCATCACCTGGACCCCTCCTGTCGGATGTCGCCTGCAGGCGATCGCCACACGCGAGCTATGCAGTTCACCGCACCCCTGGCCGCAGGCCTCGTCCTGCTTGTGAAGCATTACAGGAACGAGTCCGCACGCCGCAGGCGGATCGAGTCCGTGCTGGATGAGGCAAGCGGGGCAGGCTGACAGGGGTCGGGTTGGCGGGTTGGCGGCATGCGGCGGTGGCGGCTGGCACGGCGGCGCGCCTCCACCCCCTTGCTGCCTCCCCAATCTCTCCCTCTCCGCTTTCTGCCGATGATCCGCCGCCGCCGCCGCTGGTCCACGCTGCAGTACCGCGAGCTGTTCAACACGCCGGTGCCGCGGCTGCATGCCGTGCGCGACGCTCTGGTGGAGCAGATGGAGGCGGGGCTGCGCTGCCAGGTAGCGGCAGGCAGCCAGTGGGCAGCGCGCTGCCCGCTCCGCCAACTCCCCCTGCCGCTGCCGCCAGCACCCTGAGACACCCACCGCCCTGCATCTGCCCCTTACCTGCCCCGCCCTTGCCACCCTGCCTCCCCTGGGCCGCCTCCCCTGGCTGCAGCCCGGCGGCCTGATGATGCTTCCCTCCTACGTGGATGTGCTGCCCAGCGGCCACGAGCAGGGGGACTGCTACGCAATCGACCTGGGGGGCACCAACCTGCGGGTGGCGCACGTGCAGCTGGGGCAGGAGCGGGGGGCCACCCAGGCGGTGCACATCAGGCGCGCATGTGTTGTGTGTTGTGTGCGTGTTGGTGGCGGGGGCAAATGCTGCGCTGGCAAGTGGGGGCGGCGTGCTGCCTGGCTGCGGTCGGCGGTGGGGTGAGGGCTGTGGCCACGGCAGCGTGCCTGGCTGGGCCCCACCCTGCGCTTGCCCGTCTGCCCACCCGGCTCTCCCGTCGCCTCCTGTGCCAAACCATCCCACCCCACCACACCCCCCGCCTGCCGCCTGCCAGGGAGTGGCCCATCCCCGAGGAGCACTACGACACCGACGGCGGCGGCCTGCTGCGGTACGTGGCCCGCTGTACCGCCGAGGTGGTGCGCCAGCACTCGGCCGGGCGGTACCGGCGACCTGCGCCCCGTCATCGGCTTCTGCTTCAGCTTCCCTGTGGACCAGACGGTGCTGGACAACGGCA